CAGCAAAAACAGAGCTGGGAAAGCCATGCTCGATGGCCCTTTTTGCTGACAGAGGGCTAGCAAAACAAACTACTAGCAAAAAAACCCCCAGGCCTGCCTGGGTGCGCCTGCCATGAGTGATGTCGAGCTGGCCACACCCATCATGGACACACACACATACACACACATACAGAGGTGAAACACAACCCTGATACGGCCTTCAATTAAATTGACACCCCTGTCCTGTAATAATCCCTGGACTGGATTTGTAGTTGTTATTTCTGTTATATTTATTAAGGTTTATCTGAGATTTGGTTGGCATTCTCCTACAGATATTATACAATGCTTATGCTCAAAATTAGTCTTTGTGGAAACAAGTAATTTGAAGTTCTGAAATGGTGACTGTTCATTTTCTATATGCAGAGCAATCCACTGAACAAAGTAGTTGTAAACTCATGAATTGTCAGAGGAAGTGATTCTCAGTATCCTCAGAGTTAGGTGCATTTAATTGACTGTTCAATTACCTTACATTCCTTCCTGATTTAATTACCTCCGATTTCTTACCCTTGGGGATGAGCCTGTTAGAGTTTCTGAACAATTCGGTTCTGACAGAAGTAACTTCATTGAATAATATGAAGCTATTGATGGCTGTTAGTCTGAGGACCATTTTTTCCATTTTTGTTCCTTCAAAGAAGAGTAGAGTGGAATCTTTATTGTCACTTTAAATGTACACTAATTAGCATACATTAAAATGAAATTTCACTTCCTTGTAAAATTTTATCTAATTCCTGATCTGTATTATAAAATCCAAATTGTTCCTTCTCTTTTTTGTATTTTGCTTGAATTTGAATGTACGGCCGTAGTAATTAATGGAGAAACCACCCAATTTCAATTCCCTGTGTTTTTAATTGTATCTGTATTTTCAAGTCACCTTCATCTGTTATTAATTCTTTATATTTTATTGTTTTGTTCAAATCCGTAACATTGGGATATACTAGTGACTCCATTGGAGATAGCCAGAGAGGTATTTTCACATAATGGTTTCTTTTAATTCTTTCCCATGTATATAAGAAAACGTCCCTTATCCAGTGTCTTTGAAAGTAGCTATGGGTTTTATTTTTTCCATCCCAGAGAAACGCGTGCCAGCCAATCTGTAAATTGAAGCCTTCTATTGTCAATATTCTTTTGTCCTCCAGGTTAATCCAATCTTTGATCCAGGTACTCGCTGCAGCTTGATAGTATAACTCAAAGTCTGGGAGCTCCAGTCCTCTCTTACTTCTGCTATCTTGCATTAATTTGTATTTTACTCTACCTTTTTTCTTTTGTCAAATAAATTTACTAATTCTTTTATTCAGGTCTTCGAAGAATTTTTTTCCCTAGTTTGACTGGCACGATTTGAAAGAGATGTAACAATTTTGGTAGTACATTTGTTTTAATGGTAGCTATCCTTCCCATCCAGGAGAGTTGTAAATTTACCCATCTATCTAGGTCTTTTTGTATCTGGTCTATCAACTTGTCATCGTTATCAGCCTTTATTGTAGAGCGTTTCACTGTAAGCCAAATTCCTAAATATTTTACTTTTTTCGTTGTCTGAATCCCTAGTTCTTTTGTCAGTTCCTCATTTTGCTTTTTAGTACAATTTTTAGTTATTATCTTAGTCTTTTCTCTATTGATTTTGAGTCCTGCTACTTTACCGAATGCCTCTATCTCTTGTATTAAATTTTTGCTTGACTCTTTTGGGTCCTCCATTATGAAGACCATGTCATCAGCGAACACTTGCAATTTGTATGTTTCCTGTTTAATAGTCAACCGTTGGATATTTCGATTTTTCCTTATCTGGGTTAATACCACTTCCGCTGATAAGATATATAATAATGGGGAAAGCGGACATCCTTGTCTCACTCCTTTGCTTATTTTTATATTGTTTGTGGTTTCTCCATTAATTACTACTTTTGCATTTTGTATAGAATATAAAATATTTCCTTTTGTTTTGTTTTGAAACTTTCAATAAACATATTAAAAAAATAAAAATGAAATGAAATTTCATTGCATTCAGCTCTCAAAAGATAACCATTATGTATATTATTCACATAGACACACATATATGACACAAACATCACAGTCTAGTTTGGATGTTTACATATACAAAGAATCCTGCAAGTTTACAAGACAGATGGCATAAGAAACAAAGCTATTCCAGAATCTAGTAGTCCTGCTACAGATACTTCGAAACCTCCTTCCAGAAGGGAGCAACAGAAACAGACCATGAAATGGGTCTGTGAGGCCTCTATCAATACTTCAAGCTCTAAGCACATAGCACTTATAAGTAGTATTCTGAATAACGGAAAAGGAGCTTCCTGTAATTCCTAGGCTGTCCTCACCACTCTCTGTATGGATCTTTTATCTGAGGCTCTGGTGTCCCCAACCAAACAGTGATGCAGTTTGTTAAAACACTCTCAATCGTGCCTCCGTATAAGTGGCCAGGACAGAAGGGAAAAACAATCTGCTCTCTCCTCATCTGACACAGGAAATGCAAATCAGTTTTGACTCCTGGGCAAGAGCCTGCAGTGTTCTTGGCAATGTTTTCAGGGGTGATTTGCTGTCCCTTTCTTCTTCCTAGGGCTGAGCGAGTGTACCTGGCCCAAAATCACCCAGCTGGCTTCATGTCTAAGGCAGGACCAGAACTCAGGGTCTCCTGGTATCTGGCCTAGAAATTTCTTTCTTATTTATTTTACTTCTTTAGGGTTTTTAAATGTTTTTATAATTAATATCGATAAAAGGTAGGAGGTAAAGGAGTCCCTGAGGATTTTACTTCGCTTGTCATTACCAACTTTAGGGGCAGTGCTCATCTCTGTCTGAAGGCCATTGAGCCAGCACTGTCCAAACTTCCACAGTCATGTGACCAGCATGATGTCATGGAGCACTGTTACCTTCTCACCGAAGTGGTACCTATTTATCTGTTTGCATTTGTATGCTTTTGAACTGCTGGTTTGGCGGGTGCGGGGGCTCACCCTGTCACATGGTGCTTGGGCCTTGAACCTGGGCTGTTGGCTGTCCAGCCAACAAACCCAGCATCTTAATTGATGAGACACCATGGGTGTTTATTAATTCTGATTATCGATGATTAATATGTTTATTAATATTGATAAGTAGTCTTATATATTTTATTCACTTTTAACCTTGTGTGCCAAGAAAGTTGAGTCACTTTGGTGAGTTGGGCAGCAATAAAATGTGGTGAAAAAATTAACGGACAGATAGACAGACAGACATCGGTAAATACCAATGGATGGATGGATGGATGGAGGCAGGCAGGCAGGCAGGCAGGCAGGCAGGCAGGCAGGCCTTTTGACCAGGTTGTCATTGCTGTCCTCCATAAGATTTTGTTCTTGCAGGGATATGAGTGGTAGAAGAACAGATCAGCTTTCAGATTATCTTCATGTTACCGCCTGTACTTTAGATATTTGAATGGTGCTTGCAGGATACCTTTGGTGAAGAGCATAATATGGGAAGAAACAGAATTTAACAGAGTTGGAAAGGATTTTGGAGGTCTTATCATCCACATCCCTGCCCAGACAGGAAACCTTATACTGTTTCAGACAAAATGTTGTCCATTCTCTTCTTAAAGACCTTCCAGTGTTGGAGGTTTGAGAGCAGGTCTGTCAGGCAAATGTTGAATTATCCATTTGTATACTTTGTACTGTTTCAGGGATTTTGGCACTGGGAAATGCTTATATTTGCTCAGCTGTTGTTTTGAGGGATTTTTTAAATGTGGCCCTTGAAACTTTAGTGAAACCATTTGATCAGTACTGTTTTTAGGGGACACACAGTGAAAAGTGAATGGGGGAGGAGGAAACAATCTTTACCATTATATTATTGATATTAAAAAGCCTTTAATCTGCTCCCTTCTTTTAATTGTCTTCTGATCTAGAGTTAAAGGAACCCACCTCCGTTCATAAAATAAAGTGTTTCCTTAAAGACAATAGAACTGCTGAAATCTAATCGGCTTGGGAATTTAGCACCTCTGCCTGGCCAGGAAGATCTTTCCTGATGAAAGAGATAACAGACAAAATATTTTCTAAGTTTCTCTTAACCATAGAAGTATCACACCTGGGTTTCCATAAGGTCACCATAAAACTCTTGTGATCTCATGTCTTACACAGAGGGCTCAAAATGATGTTAAAAACCATACTGGTTTGCCAGTCTGTTGTCAGCTGTCCCAGAAACAAGCCCTGTACTGTTTCTGATCCAAATAAAAAAGAGAACCATCTTCCCAAGCAGCTTCCTTTTGCTATCTTCTTTCCTTGGTCTCACTCAAAGAAAGGAACCCAGGGAAATTTTCACAGCAATAAAGTTCTAGCAGCCCATTCTGGATGGGGACAGTCCTTGCAATCCTTTTTATGGCTCATAATCTTGGGAGGGAGGAAAGACAACTCCTTGGAGAGATCTTTGCCCCTCTGGATCAAAGAAATTTAAGAGGTATATTGAAAGCCAGAAAAGCTTTTCCAGAGTAGCATTCTGCGGGTAGGATGGGCACTGTTTAAAACCATCTTCTCGAAGATATTTATAGGTGACTTTTTAAATGGAACACTTGGAAGACAGCCTGGAAGGCAAGTTGGGTAAATACTGGAAGAGACCTTCACTGAATCTTCCCTCCTTACTCTCATTTGAGGGATGGAAAGAAAAGTTGGGTTCTTTTAAGCCACTTTCTGCTTTGTCCATTGGGATATTCTCAGGGTACAGGCAAAACAGTCAAGATGTCAGCCACAATAGTGTAATTGAATCTCCACTCATTTTTTTAATGTACATCCCATATATGCTTTATGTGAATCCTCACCTTTCTAGTAAATACTATAGCATGCTCTTATATAGAGCCAAATATATAGGACCTAAAGGTAGATTTGGAGAAGTTTGATTCACTACATTGACTAACAGGTTTTATCCCCTTCTAAAATTTGTGGAAACATATCCCCTTGTCAGCATTTTCATAACAATACTTTTTATTTGTAATTTCTCTTTTCCAGATAGATGATACACGGCTTCTGCAAATCAAAGATTATCAAGTTGCCTTGTTTCAACAGCAACAATGAATCAGGTTGGATTCAAAATTAATAACAAATATCACATGGGTTTGTCTTTTGATTCAATGCTTGTTGCTTATTCAGAAAGAGTTTTCTTTTAAAAAGTTGCACAATTTGCTTTTTTTCTCAATGTCCAAAGTGTCAGTGGTACTACCAGGGGAAAGTCCCTTCCCAGTTTAGCGTAGACTAAATATATTCAGTAGCTATGAAAAAAAAATTAAATACTAGTTGATGTGATAGTGGGGGAAAAGGAGCTAATAATGTTTAAATTCAAAATTATTACAGGTAGATTCCTGCTCCTCATCCTGTTATGTAGGGTCTGCCCATTCTCTTAATAAATAACAACTAATGAATGTTTTGTGTCTCTCCCAACAGGGTGACCATTATGATAGTATAGAAGTTGCCAGCATTGTTCTCTGCTCTTTCCTGGAAAACTCCTCCGATATTACTTTTACTTCCACGCTTTGTAGTTTGAAAAAACAGTTGTTAGCACCAAAGCAGCCTAGTGTATATGATGATGGGGAGCTTCAGACCGATGGCAATAACTTTGGACGAGTAGACGACAGAGCATTGGGTGAGCAAGGTTCTTTGTCTCCTACTTTTCAGTTTGAATAACGAAGGAACTGTTATTAACACCTCAGACTCAACATGCGTCCTCTTTCAAATGATGAAATTCTGCCAAAATTATTAAAACCTCCTGAAATTTCAAACTACACCCAAACATTGAACTCTTAAAGCAGGTAGCAGGTGGCATATTTTTAACCATATTTCTATAGAGCAGTCAGTGCTTTGAAGGTAAGTGGACCAAACTCTGTCTGTAGATACTAGGTTGTCAATTGTTAAGAGCAGAAAGAAGCAAGTTTCTAGGAGAAGCCTTGTGTGCATCCATCCATGCTCACAGAATGTTTTTGCATTGACGTTAATTTATTGACTGTTGAGCTGGAACACTGGTTCAATGGTACAGTGGCCTTCTACACCTTAATACAGGTAGTCCTCAGCATGCAAGCATTCGTTTAGTGACCATTTGAAGTTACAATGGCACTGAAAAAAGTGATTTACAGTCAGTCCTCATACTTATAAACATTGCAGCGTTATGTGGTTAAAAACTGGAGACCTTGGCAACCAGCATGTATTTACAGTGGTTGCAACATCCAAGGGTCATGCGATCACCATTTGGGACCTTCTCAGCTAGCTTCTGAGAAGCAAAGTTCAATGGGAGGGGGAAATCTGATTCACTGATTTATTTAAAACAACTATAGTGATTTGCATAACAATTGTGCCAAAAAGAGTCATAAAATCAGGCACAACTCAGTAACCAAGAGAAATTCTGGTCCCAATTATGATCGTAAGTTGAGGACTACTTGTATATTACTGCAGATGTCTTGAATTCCCACCTAATTTGTTCCTTCCAAAATATGTGACTTCCAATATGTGATGAACTAAATGCTCTTGTGGGTGGGAATTAAGAGTCCACCACAACTAGAGGACACTATTTTTTCCAAGGGATGGCACTATAATTCCTTTGTCTCCTTCCAAAATGAATTGAAAGGCCATCTAATTAATTTAAACATTCTCATTAGGCTGTCCATCACTGCAATTTAATTCACTTGCTAATTTTGGAGGGTCTTTAGCTAATGCAAAGCACTTCCAGCCGAACGCCTGGTTTAAATCTGGGATGGGCTTTAAAACATCTCTGTGTATTCTGACATAGAAATCATATACAGTATCCAATCTTGTCCTAAATCCAGTGTTCTAACATTAGCTAAGTTTTATAGCCGTGATGGTGAACCTATGGCATGCATGCCAGATGTGGCACACAGTGCCATTTCTGCAGGAACGCGAGCCGTCACCCGAGCTCAGTTCCACTGTGCATGCGTCGGAGCAGGGCGCATGCGGGAGACACATGCGCAGGGGGCAGGGGAAGCCCAGGGGGGTCACACATGCATTGCATCATGGGTGCAGGCACGCATGCATGTTCTCAGACGCGCAACGACAAAAAGGTGATCTATAGGTTGCACAATGTTCTTGCATGCTTGAAAGCCAATTTGTTCTTTGTCTTTTTCATTCATGGATTTAAATTCAGTGGCCGATGAGGAAATTTTCCGGAAAATAGGAGCGAGATTGGCTGTATTCGGTGATCAACTGGCTGCTGAAATTGAGCACCCATTTGTGAACAACCTGGCACAACAATTCATGGTGGAAAATGTGTCCAATCAGGTGAGAAAGAGGAGAAACTTAGAGGTTAATAAGATAGCACTGGGGGACTTTAATGAGAAAACAAATCCTGTATTTGTGAGGGTTTTGAGGGTTGTTCTCTATTTGTCAATCATGACTTCTTTTTCCAATTACCACATTCATTACTAGTAAATGGCATTAGGTGATTGGAACTCGCTCAGTGTTCTGATCAACTTAATTGAAGAATGGATTTGGAGGACAGTTGTATTGCTGAATACAGCTAAGAATTGAAATTGAATTTGGATGATCTTTGAAGTATGTCTTTAGCTGATAAAAAAGGATATAAGACACAAAAGTCCACTGAGGACATGAGGATTCATCCCTCCATTCATACATGCTGGAATGGTATGATTAACTGTAATTAATAACTGAATGTTGTTACACTTTGTACATAATTGAAACTATAAGGCTTCTCTCATAGTTAACAGTGACCATTAATTTACATTTTACTTGTAATGTTTTTAGTTGTAGTCTTTATCACAGTCAGGAGAAAAATCTAGCATCTGGCTGGATTAGAGTTCAAGGGGCCAGAAGAACAGCATTTTGTTCTGCTTTTGTAGGTGATCACCCAGCATCTGTCTGAAGCAGTGAGAAATGTCGTGGCAAGGATGCCTCCAGAAATGGAACATGAAAAAGCCATGTTAGTGGCTGCAATGACTTTGGCCAAGAAAGTAGCCAACGTAGTCCCTACGTTGTTGCAGCAGGTGTTCAACGTAACAGTGAATTATATCAACCAGAACCTCCACGATTATGTGAACAATTTGGGACCTGAGGTGATTATAGATTGCATTCTAGTTATATTTATCTCCAAATCAGAAGAGACGGTTGGCTGCTTGGGAAATTCTGAGAGTATCAGGCCACATTAAAAAGCTGCCAAATTTGAGAAATGCTGGCTTAATACATTTATAAGAGTGATTCTTATGCCTCTTTCAAGGAGGGTTAGTTTAAAGTCTTATAATCTAATGCTGAAAAAGTGGTGTGGGAAATTTCCCAATCAGCCCCTTAGGTTTAGCTCTTGGTCAGCCCTCCTACCCAGAAAGCCAAAAAGAAGGAAAATAGTTTCTTAGCTCCAAAGTGTTGAGAAAGCCTGGAAGCAGTGGCAGCCTGGCAGTTTTGGCTTGATCCACTTCTACATGTAGTTCTTGACAATTGATCACAATTGAGCCCCAAATTTCCATTGCCAAGCAAGACAATGATTAAGTGAAGTTAGGGTTAGGGTTAAATTAGAAACAGAGTTAAATGAACCTGGCTTCCTCATTGACTTTGCTTGACAAAAGGTCACAAAAGGTGATCACATAACCCCAGGACGCTGCAACCATCATAAATATATGCCACTTGCCCTTTTGATCATGTGACCATGGGGATATGGCAGTGGTCATAAGCACTTTTTTCAGTGCTCTTATATCTTTGAATGATCACTAAATACATGGTTGTAAGTCAAGGACTACCTGTATCATGCTGACTTCATGAGAACTCTTTGAAGCCAAGAAGTGGTTCCAATCCCTGCTAAAAGCAGATCCAATACTATATTTTTAAAAGGCTAATTCTGTAGGTGCAAGTGGTATCCTTAAATGACCTAAAGCACGTCCTGAATTTGTTTAACATTTTATGCAAAACCTCTTCAATACTTGTCGATCAGAGTGAAGGACAAAGGTCATGAGTTAGACATGATTTATTCAGTTTAACTCAATGAAATTATACATGAACTACGTAAACTAGGCTTGCACTGTGCCCTAGGTTAAAATGCAGTTAGTTGTCTATGTTGTGTGATATCTAAGCACAATATATTGGATCTTACAGGGGACGCACCTAATTATCTTTCTCTCTTCTCTTTCCTAGAACTGAACAAAAGGGATACTCATCTGAATGCAAAAACTAATCTGTTTTTTTAAAAGTTTTTAAAGATTAAGAAAATTTTGGTTATTTTGGTATTTTAAGATTTTTTTGAACTTTTTAACAGTAATGTATTTCATTATTCTATATAGTTGGCCAAGATATGATTTGGCCGGCATTTTCTACTTGAAATCTTAGATTATTTTTTATGTCCCTTGTAGGTGAAAAGCAGAGTGGTTTATTCTCAGGATCATGGTGTTGATGGCATCTCTCTTTGAAAAGAGGAATAGAAGCCATGACCATCTTACAAATACCATTAGAGTATTCTGCCATTTGCTACCTAAGGGAAAATAGTTGATGGAATACACTTGATTTATAGTTGTGATTTTTTTAAAGAAATGCATAATATTCTGCTTCATTTATCTGCCATTTAAAAATTGTCATAATATAAAGTCTTAAAAATTAAAATGTGTATTGTTTTTCATATTTAATAGTCAGCATTACTATTGCATGAGCCAGAAACAATTGGTGTTTTCACCCGAGACTGATTACTACTGGTTTTGTGGACCTATTAGGAAAGGAAATTGCCTATTTTCAAACCACAGGTGAAACTCGAAAAATTAGAATATCGTGCAAAAGTTCATTTATTTCAGGAATGCAATGTAAAAGGTGAACCTAATATATGAGATAGACTCATTACACGCAAAGCAAGATAGTTCAAGCCGTGATTTGTCATAATTGTGATGATTATGGCTTACAGATCATGAAAATTCCAAATCTACAATCTCAGAAAATTAGAATATTAAATGCAATCAATAAAACAAGGATTGTACATAGAACAATATCGGACCTCTGAAAAGTATAAGCATGCATATGTACTCAGTACTTGGTTTGGGCCCCTTTTGCAGCAATTACTGCCTCAATGCAGCGTGGCATGGAAGCTATCAGCCTGTGGCACTGCTGAGGTGTTATGGAAGACCAGGATAGCGGCCTTCAGCTCTTCTGCATTGTTCGGTCTCATGTCTCTCATCTTTCTCTTGGCAATGCCCCATAGATTCTTTATGGGGTTCAGGTCAAGCGAGTTTGCTGGCCAATCAAGCACAGTAATCCCACGGTCATTGAACCAGGTTTTGGTGCTTTTGGCAGTGTAGGCAGGTGCCAAGTCCTGCTGGAAAATGAAGTCAGCATCCCCATAAAGCTCGTCTACAGAAGGAAGCATGAAGTGCTCCAAAATCTCCTGGTAGACGGCTGCGTTGACCCTGGACTTAATGAAGCACAGTGGACCAACACCAGCAGATGACATGGCTCCCCAAATCAACACAGACTGTGGAAACTTCACACTGGACTTCAAGCATCTTGCAGTGTGTGCCTCTCCATTCTTCCTCCAGACTCTGGGTCCTTAGTTTCCAAATGAGATGCAAAAGTTGCTCTTATCAGAAAAGAGGACTTTGGACCACTGAGCAACAGACCAGTTCTGTTTTTCTTTAGCCCAGGTAAGACGTTTCTGATGTTTGTTGTTCATTGAAGCCCATGTCCAGGATCCATCTGTGTGTGGTGGCTCTTGATGCACTGACTCCAGCCTCAGTCCACTCCTTGTGAAAGTCCCCAACACTTTTGAATGGCCTTTTCCGGACAATCCTCTCCAGGCTGCAGTCATCCCTGCTGCTTGTGCAGCTTTTTCTTCCACACTTTTCCCTTCCACATAATTTTCTCTTAACATGCTTTGATACAGCACTTTGGGAACATCCACCTTCTTTTGCAATTACCTTTTGAGGCTTTCCCTCCTTATGGAGGGTGTCAGTGATGGTTTTCTGCACAACCGTCAGGTCAGCAGTCTTTCCCATGATTGTGATTCCTACTGAACCAGACTTAGAGACCATTTAAAGGTCCAGGAACCCTTTGCATGTGTTATGGCTTAATTAGCTGATTAGAGTGGGATACTTTGAGCCTAGAATATTGAACCTTTTCACAATATTCTAATTTTCTGAGATTGTGGGTTTGTGGTTTTCATGAGCTGTAAGCCATAATCATCTCAATTATGACACATCATGGCTTGAACTATCTTGCTTTGCATGTAATGAGTCTATCTCATATATTAGGTTCACCTTTTACGTTGCATTCCTGAAATAAACTTTTGCACGATATTCTAATTTTTCGAGTTTCACCTGTACACCAATACAGTAATTGTCAATTATATTTGTAATTCTTTCTGCTTTGGGTTTGGCCATTGCTGGAGTACAGATTTTAATGGGGGAAGGGAGGGGAATAACCAATAGCCACTGTACAATTTTTAAAGATTTGAAGGACTCTGTATTAAAATTAGGAATTAAGTTGGAAGTCAAATTGTTTACAAAAACATTACATTTTCTCAATTGACTTGAAAGGTTTATATGATTGTCTTTGACAATATAATTTAGACGAATAGATGTTTGACAAGTAATCTGAAAAAATCTAATTTGTTCTGGCAAGAGCAATGGAATCTTGCTGTTTATTGGTTGAGATATTGGATCATTTGAATGAACATAACTCTATTTAAATAGATATGGCTCTTTTTTGTGTGGTGTGCTTTGCTCAGAAAGCCTGCACGGCTGAAAAATCAGAGTATGGGAAAATCAGAGTCTGAGGAAAAACCAACATGTGGATGGCCTACTACATTTTACAGCCGTTCTTTCTTTACAGCTAATAAAATTTTAAAATAGTGTGTTTTGCTCCAGCTAATAAAAACCCACACACTTTTTCTTCAAAATTTAACTTTAATAAAATACAAATAAGGGTGTAGTCTTACTTATTGGTCAAGCAAAAATACAGATACTCTTTTATAAACAGTAGGAACACTTGTTTTTAACACTTGAGGCAGTATTTTTCAATTTATATAGAAGCCTGTAACAATAAGATGGTGATTATGTCTGCCCTCCTCCTCGTATTTCTTAAAATAGCTCCAGGGAAATAATTATGGTCATACAGCTTAAGGAAATACCACTCTGCCTCAACATGTCCAATGCTAGGAAGAAGAGTTGCGCTCCTCATGAAACTGTTAGCACAAAGTAAAAATAGTATTTCAAGAAGAAATCATTCAATGGCTTATTTATTTTTAACTAGTATGGGTTATTTTAGGGCTCTATGAATTCTTGGAAAGGTTTTCAAGCCTTACAGGTAAATCTCTTTTCCTGGGTCAATGTACAAACAAGGTCAGACAGGCAGCTTTCCAACCAGATTAAAAGTCACAATGTAGAAATGCTTTAGATATGCACAAGTGGGTACTGAAGCATCTATTTGTTAAAATAATTGCCCAGCTCCAGCTTATTGTGCAAAACACTAAGCAAGCATAACACTTATTTTGCTTTCAAGAACTTTTGCAGGACATCCACAGCAGGAAGTTCAGGAACCAAAAGTACATCCACATGAAGGAAACTAGTATTTCAGTAGCCTTTTCCCCCAATGGGAGCAGCAGGAAGGAGAAAGTAAGTGAAGTTTGCAGCATTTAGTCCAACAACATTGTAGCTATTGCAGAACAAACTATTTTGAAGTGACAGTTACATGACATGTATTGAAATCCTACTGGTATTCCTTTACTTTGTCTTCATTTCACTAGCACTGTGAAATATATGGTAATGTTTTCTACAGAATTAATAACTGCAGTTCCAAAAAACCAAATACAAGTTTTCACATCTTAACCAAGGTCTAGTCCATTATGAAGCACCAATATTCAAACTGGAGGATTTCCCCCTTAAATTCAGAAATTAGGTAATCTATAATCAAGTTGTAATATATCAGTATTTGAAAGGATCAATTCATAATTCCCCCTAATTCTAATGCTTAGCACTCTAGCATTTTACTGGCTGAAAAATACAGCATCTCACTGTTTATTGATTGAGATATTGGATCATTCGAATGAGCGTGGCTATAAGTAATCATCCTGGAAATGTAAGAAGGTATCTCAGGTGTTCAGTCCATTACCTCCTGTTCAAATAGACATGGCTGAAATCAGACAAAATGGATTGATATTTAAACTTACACTGATTACAGGTAGTCCTCGACTTAGAACTGAGTCCAAAATTTCTGTTACAGACATTCGTTAAGTGAGTTTTGCCTTATTTTACAATCTTTCTTGCCACAGTTCTTAAGTGAATCATTACAGTTGTTAAGTAGCCAGTTAAGTAAATCTGGCTTCCCCATTGACTTTGTTTATCAGAAGGTCGCAAAAAGTGATCACATGATCCTAGGACACTGCAACCATCATAAATATGAGTCAGTTGCCAAGTGTCTGAATTTTGATCATGGGACCATCGGGATCCTGCAAGAGTCATGTGAAAAATCGTCACTTTTTTTCAGCGCTGTTCTGACTTCGAGTAGTCACTAAATGAACTGTTGTAAGACAAGGACTACCTGTATTTCCTCCGTAATTTACTGTAAAAATCAATATAAGTTTATTTCAGAGGATGCAGATAGAGCTGAAATATATAGCAATCTTTTAGCAACAATACTTGTATCAGAAACATACTGGCAGCAATTATTCAATTTGTCCAATATCAATTTCCTCCTTCTTCCTGCTCCCATCACAAAAAAGTAACCTGGGTTACAACTATATTTTTGGGCAGAAGACAAAGGGAAAAACAGTTAAACCCCACAGGAACATACTGAGGCACTTCATTCTGAAAAATGCATAATGAAGAGTACTATGGAAAAGTGCAAGTATATTTAAACAAGACTTGCTTGTAAATACTATGTGTTCTATAGTATGTGAACACAAATGTGTAGTCTCTCAAACATGCATATTAACTAGAGATGGGATATAACTAAAACACTCCCAATTCTATCATCAAATTTGATTTTTTTTTAATAGCAGATTTAATGGGAAAGAGGAAATTGTAGCTCATCTCCAAATATGTAAAAAGAGGCTGCTGCGATGTTCAAGTAAAAACCTGTGGTACTATGTTTTTGATGACAATGTCAACATCAGAGCTTTCCAACACACACAAAATAACAATTTGACGTGAATGATCAATTTTATTTATTTTTTCCTGGGCCCAATTATAGCTGATGGAATAGAAAGGAATTGTCTACACATACAAAAAGTTACCTGAAAAGTTACATGAGCTATACAAGTCATGGTTTCAAATCATTTTTCCTCCAGTGGCCAGGAAACTGGAAATTGGAAACAAATGCTATTTCATGTCTATGGACATTCTCAATCATCCAGGTCATGGTTGTTCCGAAGGTGCTTTTCCAAAAGGCAGCTGGACTTCCTCGGTTTTTTTTCTTGAAAACGTTTTGCTTCTCATCCAAGCTTCTTCAGTTCTTGGATGAGAAGCAAAATGCTTTCAAGGAAAAAACCAAGAAAGTC